TAGCGAATGAATGAATTAGTGTTATGAACAACATTAATGTTATTTAAATAACACGGAATCAATAATACAAATGGATTACAGTTCAATAGCACTTACATAACAATACACCTTTGATGATATTAGATTGTTGGAGGCAATGAGGTTACAGGAAGCCTTCCACCAACTACGTTTCGTGCTAGTTGGCACTCACCAGTTAGCAAGGCGTATCTACAACCTCGAAGGAACTCAAGTTCCTTTCTGAGATTCGAACCCACGTCACCCAGTGAGAGCTGCAGTCAGAGACGTTACCACTGAGCTATTCGAGCTTGCGACTGACCTCCTGTAAGACTGTACTGGATACTTTGATTGGACACCAGTAACTAGTATGATGTTTCTAGTCCTTTCTTTGGTGCAGATTGAATTCTACCAGTCAAGTTTGCGATGTTACCACCATTCTAGGTAGCTCGCCATCAAGGTACACATTGATTTGGTGACATTGGATGGTTCGAGGCAATCGGCAGGAAGCCCTGCTGAGACCTAGGTTTCGTGCTAGTTGGCAGTCGTCAGCGACGCGTATCTGATGCGGGTTTGAATCTCATGGTCGCAGATACGCCTTTCTGACTAATGAGTGACAACAATTCAGAGTGTACCAAGATGGTGAGCCACCTAGAATAGTAGTGGCCACATTGCAAACTTGACTGATAGAATTCAGTCAACACCAAAGAAAGGACCAAACACATCACACTAATTACTGACTAGTGTCCAATCAAATAACAATACGTACTGAATATCAGACAGAGAAATTAAGAAAGATAATAATACAAATTCATGAATTTATAGTCTCCACTGAAGGCCGGCCAAAGCAATTATAGTGACTAGTTGGACTTGTTTCTTTTGCACACAAAGCAATGGTTGTTTCTCACCTAAATCACGATAGCTTCTGTTTGGAGTGTGCGGTACCTCAATGTTTTTGGTTATTTGTTTGGATGAGATTATCTCTCTATTTAAAGTGTTTTTATACAAGATTAGAACTGAACACTTTCAACACTCATTTGTGTAAACTTTTAATCAGAAATTATGAGACACTTCAGATTGTATGTTTTGTAAATAACACCCTGTTTCACATTTCCCCTTTCTTTTTATATGGAAGCTTTGAATCTATAACATTTCAAAAGCTTAAACTGTCTTGTACAAGGGAACACACTAATATCTTCAGTGTGCGTCGGTGGTATAGCGGTTAGGACGCTCGCCAACCATGCACATGGTCTGGGGTTCGATCCCCGGCCGACGCACTCCTTTACCTCGCTGAGCCAGAAATAATGCTGGTAAAGAGGAAAGGTTGGGCATGAGGCTAGCAACCCCATCCTGTAAAATAAACACTGCTACAGAAACTTCAAGCTGGCTCTAGCTTGAAACCCTATGTTCCACAGGGGAACGTGTAGGAAAAAAACAAAAAAACTCTTGAACTGTGTTTTATGTCATTTTTTCTCCATTTTCCTTGTCTCTAATAGATTCATTCAAATATTTGCCGCAAGATCTCATGCTCATTTGCAAGCCGTATTTAACGAGTATTCAACTTTGAGCAAAAAAGGCATAGAAGGCGCTTTAAAGTCTGAACTGAGTGGCTGTATACTTGAAGCTTTACTTGCTATCGGTAGGTATTTTTTTTCACATTTTTGTTTTCATGCATTTACATGAACTATGTCTTTCTACTTTTGGAATAATTACTTTGAATGTTTTGGATATTAATCAATAAATTCCCCTTGAAGCACTGAAAACGGACCCAGAGACGACAGTGGATATGCTGATGTCACTGTTGCAAAACGTTTGCAAAGAAGTCAAGGCAACTACTGATTGGAAGAAAGGCAATATTGTGAAACTACCAGAAAACGGAGATTTAGGCCTCTGCAACAACTGACGCGGTAGAATGCTCTTGTCCGCGACAAGTAAGATACCAAGTCACATCAATTTAGAGAGAATAAAAGATGCAGAACTCCGTCAAACCGGAACAAACTGGATTGATTGGAGGACTTCATCATGAGCTGACATCAGTTAGAGAACCACTATTAGCTTACTGGTCTACGAACTCGTCTTGTAACCAGAATGTCCTGGATTCGAAAGCCCTGTGGTGGGTGCGTACTGATGAAGAGTCCCAAACTAGGTGGGACGAAACAGCTGTCCAGTACTCCCTGGTGGTGGTTTTCCAATGGTTCCCTAACAGATGTTAGCTCATGATGAAATCCTCCAACCAGTTCAAGCAAAATCCTTACAAAATCAATACCTGAAAACTGGATTCAGGAAAAGCAGATCGTGTTCTCTGTGCATCATCATCATCGTTGAATAGACAATACGAATCTTTACCTAAATTTTATCGACTTTGGAAGGGCCTTCGATGATATTGACCACGATGTAATCTGGAAGCTACTTCAACACTGTGGCATGCTACAAATCTTTATCAAGCTCATTCAAGTGCTATATGACAATGCCAAAGAGGTTACTTCCATCACTTATCTAGAAATCACCGTTTCAACTATAGGCGATAGCAAGGATTAAGATTTCAAAACCAGAATCGGATGTGAAAGACTAATCGCTATCAGTCTGAAATCAGTATGGAAATCTTCTGCACTAACTCAGCATAAAAAGCAAAATCCGGATTTTCGGCATTGATGTTGAATCGGTCAGTACTTCTATATGGGTCAGAAACTTGCACTGCGTGTCATCAAAAGCATTAACAACAAGCCACTACAGACCTTCATCAACAGCTGACTTTACTGGCCACATGTTGAAGAACAAATGGCAGGCCAGAATGGATTAGCAACAAGAAACTCAGGCTGGCGACTAACCAACTAAGAATCTATTGTTCGACAAATATTCCAAAGAAAATTGAGATGGATCAGGCACACGTCACTGAGGAGATCATCGAGTGAAATCTCGTACCAGACAATCGCTTGAGTGCAACTCTATTTGGAAATCACGAGTTTGGCGTATTGGTTGAGGGTGATTTGGAGAGGGTCATGTGAGAAGGAGATGAGATTCAGGGCAATGTTAAGGCCAGCTAAACAGCACCTCAGAGAATAGGACAAAGTGAATATGTGGTGTTGAAGCCACATGTCCCATCCCCAACCAAAGAAAACAACCATAATAATAATAATAATAGCAAGATAATAATAACGCATTAATCGTTGCTTAACAGTTTCACGCGTTATTGTATGCATCACTGCGTTTTCGTAATTTATCTAACGCTTTTATGAATCGATAAAATGATACTTCTTGCTGTCTAGTCAGAGCCGTGAACACTTCCGTTCTTGAGGTAATTACTTCACTAATTTGAATATCCACATAATTTTTTTTCAGAACCAGAATAATTGCAGCGAACAGTTGCGGTTTCAATCAATTTTTCATCAGGCTATACAATTATAAATCCACTAACTTTAGCATTGGTATTGGTCAGTCACTGTATCAAATGAGTTTTAAGGTCATAGTTGACTTTAATACTTTAGCTGGCATTTATTAAAATGTGAGAAACATTGTTCTCACTTTTTCGTTCAGAGTTAAACAGAATCTTTAAGGTTACAAGAAGGTGAATATCGTGTCCTTTGGTAGTTCACTGATAGAATACTCTCCAACCATATTGGAGATCAAAGTTTGATTCGAGAATGGTGTACTCCTAAGGCGTCGCCTCGTCTGTAGGAAACCCGATAAGGACGGAAGGTTTAATTTGAGGCTAGCGACTTCATCCTGCAGAAATAAAAGTTCTATTGAAACTTGAAAAGTTTGAATCCTGGGAACGTATGAATGAAGAAATATTGAGTAATAAATTAGTTATTATTTGGTTTCTTCACTTATTTTAATATTGAACTAAGTTTGAGGCGTTAAATTAAGTGGATTTTTCTAGAACTTTAGCTGTAATTTATCTCTAACCCAGTGGCTCTCCCATGAACAGTTTCTGTATTGAAAAAGTGCACCTGTAGGTCCTGATATTTAGGAGGTATATCATTCACTTATGGCAGATAGTTTGAAGTAATTGACAGAAATTTCTGAACTTCGAGTTGGAAGATATGCCTTACTGACAAATATCAGTAAGCAGGAAAGCCTGGGTAGAGTGCATTCTTCTGGCTGCCTACAGCTACCTTATATCGATTCAAAGTACACTCTCATGGCCAGTCACCTAACTTGATGATAAGGCTGGGAACTTCTCTAGTTAAGGAATTTAGTCAGCACAGAGAGTAAAGATTAAACTTATGATATTGGTTAATTCTTAATGACTAATCAACACCAACTAGCTTATTTGAACTTCTGAGTCATACCCAGTAAGTATACTGGGAAACGGAAGGCAGTTATACTTCTACGAAATTTAAAATTTAAGTTATCTGATGTGTGACAGATAACGTGATAACTATTGTTTCAGTAAACATAAAGGCTGTAGCTTGCGTGATTTTATTCCCGTTACTTATTGTTATTGATAAAGATAAACTGAAATTGTTTAATGATAAAATCTGCACACCTGCCACATGCCCTTTCTTTGTTTTTCAGCAATACTATTCATCTATTCTCCTCAAATAAGCTTTAGATTTTCTGATGACACAAATCCTACTGTAAACAGTCAATTTCTAAATGTTGGTTTGCAAGAATTATGCTGATTTCAATTTTGGTTATCGAATTGATTTCAGTTAGACGGGCATCAAAAATCAGGGAGGACTGAGAATTTGTGACCAGCGTGGTTCACCAAGTTGAGTATGAAGACAGTTGCCCATGAGTGACAATGTTTGGTGGTCTCAATAAATTCTCCGAATTAGTGGAAGTTAGAATTCATGGGCCATTGGACACCTTACTAGTAGCTAAACGGTCAGTGGGTTCATCTTCTAACCTGAAAACCCTGGGAACGATCGTTCACGTGATCATGGATACGTACTGATGAAGAGTGCCGAACTAGGTGGGACGAAACAGCTATCTGGTACTCCATGCTGGTTTTTCTTGGTTATTTAACTGAAGACATTTCAAAAGTTTGGTTTGTAAGGATTAGTTATGTTTTACGAGTTGATCACGGACTGATATCAGTTAGAGAACCATTGAAAACCAAGGAGTACTGGACAGCTGCTGTTTCATCCTAGTTTGGGAATCATCGGCAGTACGCACCCACTGGGATTCGAACCCAGGACCTTCCGGTTACAAGGCAAGCTCGTATACCATTCAGCCACTGGGACCCGATTCAATGGCTCATGAATTCTAACTTCTACTGCCGATGATTCCCAAACTAGGATGAAACAGCAGCTGTCCAGTACTCCTTGGTTTTCAATGGTTCTCTAACTGATATCAGTCCGTGATCAACTCGTGAAGACATTTCGTGATTAATCTTAAACGGGATATTTTCACTTATGAATCTTCATTCCCTAAGACGATACTGGGGACTAGTTACGTAATACAGCTGGTGATCCAACTTCACAGACGTTTTCATCTGCAATAATTCTGTTCCAGATAAGCTCATAGCTCCCAAGCATTTACAGCTTTTATCATTTTCTTTCGTTAAGGGGAACTTGATACAATTAGTTCCCTTGACAAATTTGAACAACTGGATGGAAGATTTCATCATAAGCTGACACCAGTTAGAGAACCATTGGAAAACCACCCAGGGAGTACTGGACAGCTGTTTCGACCCACCTAGTTTGGGACTCTTTGACAGTACCCACCCACCGCCATCGTTCGAACCCAGGACCTTCTGGTTACAAGGCCGGCGAACTCGTAGACCGTCAAGCCACTGGGACCCGATCCAATTACCAGCCCGTGAATTCTAACTTCTGCCAATTAACGACATAGCGCGACCACTTCTCAATGTCCTCTCAGATGAGTTACTGCCTCACCTTCAACCTGCTGCATCTTACTGGTCGCGGCTTCCCACTAGAACCTCAGCTCGCTTCCTGAACCCTGTGGGTGCGTACTACAGAAGAGTCCCAAAATAGGACAACACAGCTGTCCAGTACTCTTTGGGTGGTTTTCCAATGGTTCTCTAACTGATGTCAGCTCATGATGAAATCCTCCATCCAATCAAAACAAAATCCCTACGAAACCAGTACTTGAAAATTTGAATAATGCGAAAAGAACACATTTTGCAGGATAATATAAATCCATTCAATCATTTCATAGGATCTTCATCAGCTGCATACAACCTGAATAATAAGCTGTATAAGCAATAAATGTGAAATCACTTAAACTTACTTTAACTGAGTAGCCAGTTCATTTTATCAGAGAGTAAAATAGACTGTTGATAATGGAGACAGGGTGCGAAGTTTATGAGAAGTTGAGATAGTGGATTATAACTAAAACGGAAACTTCATACATTTGTTCCCATTAATGAATTTCAATGAAGCAAGAACAATAGTGGTTTGTGTAGAATAAAATAGTACCATCACTGGTTATTTCGTTGACTTCTCATCAGCTGCTTACAGGCCAAAGTCATTAATAAGCTTATCTACAGAAACGATACTTGCAGAGAGTTCATTTTTAAACAAAAGTCAATCAATCAATGTATGCATACAGTAATAATAATATAATAATAATATATGTAGTAAAAATAAACACTTTATCCCAAACAATAATAATCATACACAATGGAAACTTTCGGTATTGCATAATCAGACGAAAGATAGGATGAAAATATCTAGTTATCAGGGCAAGGAAAGACTGATAACCGCTTCTTCCTGAACACGTAAATCATGTTTCAGGCGTTTGATGGGGATTGCTTCGGCAAACTTAAGGAGGACTGAGCTCTTTTGTCTATTGAGAATTTTGAATGATCTTGCGACGTCCACCTCACGACCCTTATCAAGAAGATGTCTGACATTTACACTATTGAGAGCATTTGTTCCCTTGAGACATAGGCTTTTTAGTACATGTTCAGAAAATTGGAGGTATGCTCTTCTTTCTGTTTCGCCAATGTAACATGTAAACTTGGAGTTAACATAAGAAGGATATCTATCGATTTTTGATTGCTTAAAAATGCTTTCTGTGCAAGTATGTTAAAATTGTTACTGTAGATATACTTAATAATGACTTTGGCTTGTAAACAGCTGATGAGAAGCCAATGAAATAAACAATGATGGTACCATTTTATTCTACACAAACCATTGTTCTTGCCTTGTTCTAAAACCTACACATATTGTATAAAGAGGAATGTGATAGAATGTTTAGGGTAATTGAGACATAAGTGGAGACAACTACAAAGTCATGTGCAAAGTTATTCAGCCAAAATGAAAGAAGTGAAGGTCAAGAAAATATCAAGAATTAGAGAGGGAGTAGATGAATGCATTTACCGAGTTATGACACACACACACACAAACGTGAAGTGAAATAGAATAAAATGAAGTTTCAACAAGTTAAAGTGAAATTGTTATAATTATTGTATCCTTTAATTCCTAGATGAACATAGGGCTTCAGACGTGCGTCTCCATTGCGTTCGGTTCTCTGCTAGAGTCTTCACCTCGCTCCAAGTCTGCCCACACGTTTTCATCTCCTCTTCACATGACCTCCTACAAGTCACACTTGCACTAACGACCAACTCGCCGCTTCCCATTCTGCCGGGTTCCACTCGAGCAATGGCTTGTCTAGTGATGTCACTTGATGGTTTCCTCAGAGTATGGCCAATCAATCCATCTCCATTTCTTCCTGCCTAATTGTTTCGCAATCGGTTCTTGTTGGGTTGGTTCGCTCCCAGAGATCTCTGTTGCTGATCTTTTCTGGCCATCTGATCTTGAGTATTGAGCGAAGACAACTGTTGATGAAGGTCTGTAGTTTGTTTGAGATGCTCTTTATGACGCGCAGTGCAAGTCTCTGATCCGTATAGTAGCATTGACTTCACATTGGAGTTTAAAATCCGGACCTTATTTTTCATTTTCACACTGAGTGCTGCTGACCTCCAAACAGACATGAGAGTAATGAAAGCTTTTCTTGCTTTCCCGATCCTTGTTTTGATATCCTCGTCAGTTCCGCCTGTAGTACAAACGATGCTCTCCAGGTGGGTAAAGGAGGTTGTTTCTTTCAGGTTCCTTGCATTTATGCTGATTGTTGTCTGTTGTTGTTGGTGTTGCCCAGGAATCTTCATCACCTCTGTTTTCTCTATGTTCATTTGAACTCCTTCCTATGTTTGATGCTTCTTCTGCCAACTTGTTGCTTTTCGCTTGCATGTGTTCCAGTTTGTGGGAAATCAGACGTATATCATCAGCGAAGTCGAGATCTTCCAAGTCTTTTGTGTGGGTCCATTTTATGCCTGTTTCCTCATTGCCTGCTGTTTGTCGCATTATCCAGTCTACTGCAATGAGGAAAATCATTGGCGATAGTAGGCAACCAGCTTGTCTTATTCCTGTCCTCATTTCGAAGGATTCCGTAAGTTTCCCGTTGTGGATTACTCGGCATGCAGCATTGTCGTACAGCTGTTGGATGAGATGTATAATTGTCGGTGGCACCCCGTAGTAGCGACGTAGTTGCCAAAGCACCTCTCGATCGACGCTGTCGAAGGCCTTTTCAATGTCAATGAAGTTGAGTGAGGTAGAGAGGTGACTGCCATTCCAAACTCTGTTCAATGATGATCCGTAATGTGGCGATTTGATCAACACATGCCTTGTTTCTCCTGAATCCAGCCTGTTCCGGTCGAAGTTTTTCATCCAGGGTGACATGTTTCACTCTCTCCAGGATGATGTGGCTTAGTATTTCGCTTGGGATGGACAGGAGCATAATTCCGCGCCAGTTCTTGCATTGACTTAGGTTTCCTTTCTTTGGTAGTTTGAATAACTATCCTTTCTTCCAATCCTCGGGTACTTTGCTTTCTTCCCACACCTTCTCCAGTAGTGGTGTCATCAAGTCAGCTGTTGTCTCTGGATCCATTTTCAATGCTTCTGCTGGGATTCTATCTGGTCCTGCTGTTTTTCCAGCTTTTAGCATCTAGGTAGTAGTAGTAATAGGCTGGTAATAGTCACTCTTCGCACACATAATTCAGATTTCATTCTCCGATTGGTCACAACTTCAGCAATTCGAAGTAGTCTTGAAGCGCCTTGTATATTCATAAGTTTAAAGGATTTCATAACATTGGTTTGGTATCGAGTGTCAGCCAGTTGCCGAGCTATGGAGCTATGCTGTTGAACCTCTAAGACGTAGACTTTCGGGAATATGTTCAACAATCCTTTTAGATAATTGTCTCTCAGTTGTTCCAACACACTTGCTACCGCATGTACTTGTGAATTCATCAATATAATTGTAGCTTTATAACAATTAGTCCCTTTTATAAATTTGTATAATGTTATTAGAAGATGGAGATTATCTGAAAAACGATGTGATGTGTATTTGCGCTATACATTTCGAACAATCTTATCCCTCACCCATTTACTTGTCAAGTCAATATATTTGAAAAATCGTGCTTTGCCTGTGAGAGTGGGACAGCGAGCATACCCCGAAATGGTTAGAAAAACAAATGAATTGCGTGAAACCAATAGACGCAGGTATCAGACTACCAACTTCATCTACAGCCGAACATCTAATCGAGATGATCCATACGATTGATTTTAACTCAGCTTTTAAGGTCATCTATAAAAATGGTCAAGGGCGCTTATTGAAATACGCCGAGGATATGGCTATTCGTAAGCTTAAGCCCCCCCTCCCCTCGGTGTATTCAAAAACAGTTTATTATTACTCTTAGCCCACCTATCTTGGTAATCCTTATTTGATTGGATTACTAAAAGTTGTGTTAATCATTCTTAAATCCTTTTTTGTCACTTTGTTTAATTTAATTGCCCTTAATTTGTCTTTCATATATATAGACTTGACAAGTAAATGTGTGAGGGATCAGATTGTTGGTCGAAACGTATAGCGCAAATACACATCACATCGTTTTTCAGATAATCTCCGTCTTCTTATAACAACACTTTCCCAATAACCGGAGCTAACAAGAGCCGGTAATTTATCTACTTTAGATTGTGTGTTTAAACGGGTAGTTTTGTACGGCAGGAGTAGTTTATCATCTGGGTACGTCGTTGATATTGCATCTTTTATTCGTCCGGTAGTACTTTCACCAACCTCGTCACCTTTGAATCCTAATTTAAGGAACACCGGTTTCTTCTCGACAGTACTATACTGTGGTTTATCCATGTCAAGCCTACTGTATTTCTCTTCAAATCTCTTGCGATATCGACTGTCCTCTATACATTCCTTAGTGAATTCATATCCATAAGTAAAAACACAGTTTTTTGTTCAGCGAAGAAATTTCTTTTCAACGAATTCATTTTCAAGCTGTATAGTCGTATTTATATTACAGAAAAAAAGGTTATTAAGTGGCACTAAATATTTGCTCAGTCAATATACATATATATATGTGTGATAAGAATAACGATAATTAAAATGTTATAAGGGGTAGAGTTGAAGTGGATAAATTACAAAATTATTGAAGATTGTTTTATAAGTGAATTGAAATCAAAAATGTTTTAAAAATGTCAAGTGTTGTCTAGAAGTTTGAAAAAATTCGGAGTACGATTACGATAAGAATGAATATGTGAAGTGAAGTGGAAAGAATTCAAGTGGTAAAATAAAATAAAGTAAAAACTAGAAAGAACATTACTATGACCAAGGTAAAGAAAGGGGTTTGACAAAACGTTTTTGAACACATAATTTAGGTTTCTGTTCATGTATAGCTAAAGCTTCGGCTATGCATAAGTGAAGATAACGTAAACTTTTGGATCGATTCGATTTTGCCATGTAGATAACTTTGAAAGATGAATCACGTGGGGCTAAATGACCTGACTCTAACAGGTGATCACAGATAGACGACTTCGCAGTTCTACGTTCGCCTTTCATTAACCAGACTGGATAGTGTTCAGCTACACGTTTTCGGAGATTACGCTTACAACGTCCAATATAAACAGCTCCACAAGAGCAGGTAAAAGAGTAAATACACATAGATGTGGACAAAAGCGGTAATTCATATCCTGCAAAAAGTGTTCTTATTGCATTATTCAACAGGAGGAGGATGGGGATGGAGGGAAAGTTTTACGTATGTTTCCTCAGCTTTTTTTAAAATATAAATTCGTCTTTAATCAAATTTGAATATTTTCTTTCATTTTGTTTTTTGTTGATTCCTCGAATATTTTAGTTTCGTGTGTAAATAATCGACCATTGTTTTTCGCTGAAAAACTCAAATATGCTATGAAAGGAGCTGGAACGGATGATAGAACGCTTATTCGTATTATCGTTTCACGTTGTGAAGTTGACATGACTGCGATTAAACATGAATTTCATCAACTGACTGGAAAGTCACTAGAATCATGGGTTGAGGTAAGAAGCAACACAAGGAGATATTTTTTATTCAATTTAAATTACGGATTTAAACAACAAGTTCAAAAACGATTTTTGAAGTTGGTTGGAACACGAATTTCCCTCTGTGTGTCTTATCTAGTGTTTTTATTTTTTTATTGTGGCTTTTATAGAGTAATCTTTTCAAGAGTTTTATGTTTTCAAGATCCTGGGTGAAACATTTTGACCGCAACAGGCTGGATTCATGAGGAACTAGTCATGCATCGATCAAATCGCAACACTACGGATCATCATTGAACAGAGCTTGGAGAGACAGTCAGCTCTTTACCTCACTCAACTTCATTGACTTTGAAAAAGCCTTCAGCAGACAGACAGCATCGATCGAGAGGTGATTTGGAAACTACTTCGATACTACGGATCACCACCGACAATTATACATCTCATCCAACGGCTGTACGACAATGCTGCATGCCAAGTAATCCACAACGGGAAACTTACGAAATCCTTCGAAGAAGTGAAGATGGCAGTAAGACAAGGCTGGCAGCCTACTATTTCCAATGACTTTCTCGATTGCAGTAGATCGGATAATGCGACAAACAGTGGGCAATGAGGAAACAGGCATAAAATGGACTCACACAAAAAGAGACTTGGAGGATCTGGACTTCGCCGATGATATATGTCTGATTTCCCACAAACTGGAAGATATGCAAGTGAAAAGCAACAAGTTGGCAGAAAAAGCATCCATTCACCTGAAGTTAAAAACTTCATGTGAACATAGAGAAAACAGAATTGATGAAGAGTCCTGGCCAACAGCAAGAGCAATAACAACAGACAGCAATCAGTCAGCATAAGTGGGAGAAATCTGAGAGAAACAACCTCATTCACCTACTTACCTACCTACCTGGGAAGCATCGTCTCTACTACAGGCGGGTAAAACTGACGAGGATAACAAAGCAGCGACGATCTGGAAAGCAAAGCGAGCTCTTATTACTCTCAAGTCTGTGTGGAGATCAACAGCACTCAGCATGAAAAATAACATCCGGATTTTAAAATCAAGTGTGAAGTCATTGCTACTTACTATACGGATCAGAGACTCGGCGCCGCGTCCCAAAGGGCACTTCGAACAAAACACAAACCTTCATCAACAGCCGTCTCCGCTCAATACTACTCAAGATCAGATGGCCGGCCAGAAAACATGAGGAACAGGTAGGGATCTCTGGGAGAGAACCAATACAGCAGGAACCAATTGTGCAACAAATCTGCAGGAAGAAATGTAGGTGGATTGGCCATATTCTGAAAAAACAAAGCATCAAGTGAGTGATATTACACGCCAGGCCATCGGGTGGAACCCGAATTGAAGGCGGCGAGTTGGTCGTCAGTGCGATGGTGACACTGAGGACATCATATGGTCAGCAGATGAAAGCATGTGGACAGACATGGAGCCAGATGAAAACGTTGGCGGAGAACGGAACGCAATGGAGACTTGCAGCTGAAGCCCTGTGTTCCTCTAGGAACTAAAGAAAACAATAATAATAATAATAACGTCCTGTTTGTCAGAAGTTAGTAAAAACTTGAAAATATCACTTCTGAGTCCGTGAAACCTTCAATTATGTATGCATTGTAAATGTAACCCACGAACATTGTGACTTAGAGGATTGGCATATACAATCAAAAGTCACTCACCTCCGCAATGCCTCATGATGGAGTTCTTTATTGTCCAGAAGGAATAATGAAAAATCCAGTATGTATATTGTGCAAAGGTTCGCATACTAAGCTGGCAGAAGAAGCAGACAGCGGAGACAGGCCATTATGTGAACTCACAGAAAAGACAAGGGAGATGGATTTATCCAACCAGCAACAACAACAGCAATAATTACCACCAATCACAGTCAACAGAGGAAGTCTAAAAGCAGTAAGCCTCTCTGGTTATTTAAGGGGAATTCACAAGCGGCACAGATGACAATGTCAAAGGAAGGATTGTAAAAATAAGACATTTTTTCATACGATTCAGAGAGGTGGCACATACGTCACGAGAAGCATTTCCAACTGTCTTCTGCAAACTCTTATCAACACCTATCTTCCCTCAATATAGAAGAACAGATGGCCAGTTGAAAACAATAACTAACAAGGAATAAAACGACCAACAATCTATGGCTTATTGATGTTTAGAATAGAAATTGAGCACTGTGGTAGAGTATAATTCCATTTTACAGTAATACTTGCTGTAAATATTTACTGTATAACACTGTGAGACTTTACCAAAATGAAATTTTCTCCATAATGGAACCTATTGCTCAACTAGCAATCTCGAGCCAGGCTGTTGAGCATACCCTGAAGGGGAGAACAGTATGTTTGGCGTTTTAGAATGACATGGAGGAGATAGTATGAAGAAGAACTGAAGGCTGATAGGCATCGGTGGCACAGTGTTAGAGTGCTCACCGACCACGCAAGTTGTTCAGAATTCAATCCCCAGCCGCCGAAGCACTCCTTTACCTCGATCGCTAAGCCAATAGTAAAACTGGTAAAGAGGGAAGGTTGGGCCAGTTGAGGCTAGCAAGCCCATCCTGTAAAAATAAATCACCACTGCTTCAGAAACTTCCACTGGGAACGTAAAAGAAAAAGAAAAAACAACTGACAGGCCTTGAACTCAAATTATTTTCGTCATTTTTATTACTCACCTTGTTCTTTTTATGGTTTTTCATATTATTGCTAAATAATCCTCTTTCTTTCTTTTCATTACAGGGTGACACAAGTGGAGATTACCGTCGATTATTATTAGCCCTTATTAGTGGTTAACTTTCGGTTGAATAACACTCGAGCAAAAAGTTTCACTTCTACTCATTATGATTCTTATATTTCTTTTTTTCAACTACAAATGTTCAATTTTCAGTTTCCATATTCAGCGCGCCAAATCGCTTTTAAATTTCCCTTTCCCTTCTTCTTCTTAATCCAAAAACGTATTTACATCAAACAGACAAATATACACATAATTGTAATCCTGTTCAACCAGTACACTACACTACACTGCATTATACCTACGCATATACGAATACGCTTGTGTAAGTGTATTTACTACCTTCTACACAGAAATCGATCAATTTTGTACTGATTACATGTTGTCCAGGTGGGCAATCAAGGTCACAAACATGCAATGAATAAACCTTGTTTTCCTTTGTTGTCAATCCTCTTTTCTACCCCTTACCCCGGTCACTATTTCTTTTCTCGTTTTACACTCTTTCTACTTTCTTTATTTTCACCATTTCTGTAATACTATTTCAATTCATTCATTCAATATAATAATAATAATTATAATAATAGTAATAATAAAAATGGCAGTAAATCAATAAAACGAGGCACACAATGTTCTTTTTTCTTGTATTCAATGTTTTGTTGTTTTCGTAATATGAACGCAAACACTCTACGTTTATTATGCCATCAATAAAAACCTTAATAACAAGGTAAATGACAAAAGACTTGGTTTTTACATTATTATTGTTTCCTTTAATTCCTAGAGAAACATAAGACTTCAGCTGCACGTGTCCATTGCGTTCACTTCTCTGTCAACGTTTTCATCTGGCTCCACGTCTGACTTCATGCTTTCATATCCTTTTCACATGACCTCCTTAAGTCACCCTTGAACGACTAACTCGGCGCTTCCCGTTCGGGTACCACTCCAGGGCTTGTCTAGTGATGTCACTTGATGGTTTCCTCAGAGTGTGGCCAATCCACCTCCACTTCTTCCTGAATATTTGTTGCACAAACAGTTCCTGATGGGTTGGTTCGTTCATTATCAGAGATCTCCCAATATTGCTGATCTTTGTTGGCCGGCCATCTGATCTTCAGTAGTATTGAGTGAAGACAGGTGTTGATGAAGGTCTATAGTTTGTTCGAAGTGCTCTTCATGACGCGCCAAGTCTTTGATACGTGTAGTGAGTAGCACTGACTTCACACTGGATTTGAAAATCCGGATCTTATTTTCATTTTCATGCTGAGTGCTCTTGATCTCCACACAGTCTTGGGAGTAATGAGTGTTCTCTTTGCTTTCCTGATCCTCGCTGCTTTGATATCCTCATCAGTTCCATCCGCCTGTAGTTGAGACGATGCTCCCCAGGTAGGTAGGTAGGTGAGTAGATGGATGAGGTTGTTTCTCTCAGATTTCTCCCACTTAGGCTGATTATTATCTGTTGTTATTGCTGTTGCTGTTGTCCGGGAATCTTCATCACATCTATTTCCTCTATCTTCATCTAAAGGTCGTCCTATATTTGATGCTTCTTCTATCACCAACTAATTGCTTTTCACTTGCATTTTTTCCAGTTTGTGGTAAATCAGACATATATCAGACGCCTCGGTTAAGGAATGTTTATTTGAAATTTAATATCGCTATATATTTTCATCGCACCATTTACACAGATCTTCCATGTTGGCCTTCCTTCACATTGTGTTTCTTTGTATTTCTTTCACGTCTCCCGTGTATCTCCAGAACACTGTATCATTTGCTTTCTCTGACATCAAACCTATCTCCATGATATTTGATGTTTCTTTTGCCGATGAACATCTCTTTATATATATACTACTGAAAAATCTTATCAGTAGCACATGGCACAATATGACTTGTATATTCCGTGTGCATTAGTTTATAATTAGGAATATGATTTAAGGGCGAAATTTGAAAACAAAAATGGAACTGGAACTTAGTGAAGTGTTTATATTATTACATTTTCATCATTGTTATATCATTGGGTTCCGAGCGGAATACAGGACTCTAGCACAATATCTCCACCCTTCACTCTGTTCTTTGGCGCCACGAAAGTTCACAAACTTCCAGTTGCCCTTCGTACGATCTCCTCCATATCGCCCTAGGAACATCACCGAACTCATCGCTCACCTCCTATTCGATTTCCACTCAACAGTCGCTTAAGAGTGTGTTGATTTCATCTGCATTTGTGTTGGCATGTTTGTTGAACGATAGATACAAGTACCCATTCAATCTTCAATATGGAGTGAAGGCAGTTGTTAATGTAAGCCTGTAGCATGTTGGAAATGGTTTTCGTGGCCTATGCGTCATGTTTTCAAACTATTTAGAAGTAGTCACTTGATATAAGTGTTGAAAATCTGGATCTTCTTCTTTATACTGAATACGACAGATTTTCACATTGATTTCAGAGTCGTGAAGGTTTGTCTTACTTTTCCGACCTTAACCTTGAAATTTTCATCTGTGCCGTCTGCAGCTGAAATGATGTTGCATAGATAAGTGGAAGAACTGACCTCCTTGCAAATTCTTTATTTGATAGGGACTGGCGCTTGTTATAACTAGTTAGGTATCTATCTTCTCACTGTTCACTTGAAGTCCCGTCTTCTCCTATCAACTGGTTAATTTTCGCCTGTAGATCTTCAAGTTTATATGACGTTAGACGTAAACTTTCTTCGGATTTCAGAGCTTTCGGATTCTTCATTTCAGTCCAACGTATGCCCATCTTCACACTCCCCACTATATATTGCATGATTCGGTCTATCTCATTGAGGAATATTGTCGGTGATTGTAGGAAGTCGTGTTCTTGCTCCTGTTTTCAATTTAAAGACTCCGTTAATCCCTCCGCTGAGGGTCATTTGCTCAGTAAGAACTTAAATTAGAAGTTTTACAAGGGATTTTGTTAGAAATCGAAATATCTGCGCATGGTGACGCGTCATTCACTTACTATGACTGAGGGTAATACTTGTCTGGCAGTACAAAGACTATACAAATATTCTTCTCTGTTTAATAGTAGTAGTTTTGGAGATAATTTATGCAACAAATTTAAATCAGGTTAGTAATCAGTTAATATAACTGTACTACACTGTGTGATTTATCAAAATAAAATCTTATCCATTATAGTAATCTTCCCTCGATTATGTTAGAGGGGTAAATGTAAGCTAAAATGGGGTAGTGATCTCATTAGTAAGTTAGGATCTATAGCAGATAGTCAGATCATGTACTTTAATATTTCAGGTAGTAGGTGAACATGAGATTGGAGTCGTCAAAGTGTCCAACATAACCATTCACATAGGGAATAGTAAAGCAACCGTCCTACCTACTCTCATTGCCTGGTTATACTGGATAATCCTAGGAATTGAAGTTTTGCAATTATTAACAAGAGAAAAGGAACGATGATTACAAAAAGGTATCGTTCACCAAGTGTGAAAGTGGTAAGACAGCTAATGTCGACGTACTGAACATCATGCCATCAGCCATAAAAGAATGGGAACAGAAATAAATCACCGGTTATCTCAAAGAAGGAACGAATGTCATTCGAGTTGACAGGTATATCTTTTACGTTTAAATGATTAAAGATCTCGTTGCTTAGGGACTTTATGAATGTGGAAGTATACAATGATGATGCAATGGTATACAGTCAGACAAAAATGACGTTACAGGAGATACAGAAACTGCTCAAAGACTCAGTGCTTAGTTTTGGACCACATATGAATATGACTAAATCTCTGATAGCCAAGATATAGTGAAGTAAAACTTAACTGGGAATATTTTGACGAACAAAAACATTGAAGCCATAAATTCTAATATGAAAAGGTGTTAATTCTTGGAAATGCCAGTGATAATCCAATACCCAAGAATCCGAAGCATTCAACGTTTGGGAAAGAATTTTTAGCAATTCAAGGGTTAGTTTGTAGGGATTTGATTGGTTACAGGAGTTTCATCATGAGCTGACATTAGTTAGAGAACCACTGGAAACCAGGGAGTACTGGACAACTGTTTCGTCCTAGTTTGGGACTCTTCATCAGTACGCACCCACCGGGATTCGAACCCAGGACCTTCTGGTTACAAGGCTAGTGAGCTCGTAGACGATTAAGCCACTGGGACCCGATCCAATTGCAAGTCCATGAATTCTAACTTCTGCCAACTCAAGACATAGCGCGACTCCTAGCCAATGTCTTCGGCAAGTATTTGTCCTCACACCCGACCTGCTGCATCCTACTGGTCACGACTTCTCACTATAACCCCAGGTAACTACCTACCTGAATAGGGCAAGTCGCTAGTGATCATCTCATTCATATTCAAGTGTTGGTTTGTAGCGATTTGATTGGTTACAGGATTTTCATCATGAGCTGACATTAGTTAGAGAACCATTGGAAAACCTGGGAGTACTGGACAGCTGTTTCATTCTAGTTTGGGACTCTTCATCAGTACGCATCCACCGCGATTCGAACCCAGGACCCCGTGGTTACAAGGTGGGGGATGCGTAGTGCTGAAGGGTCCCAAACTAGAACTAAACAGCTGTTCAGTACTCCCAGGTGGTTTTCCAATGGTTCTCTAACTAATGTCAGCTCATGATGAAAATCCTGTAAATTTTTAGCAATATTTTAGGCGTTAGATAAATGGTCAACAGTTTTATATCGAAAATGATTACAAGTCTCTATAGTCGTTGAAGACAGCCATACAACTTCACGAAAGTCGGTTTTGCTGAATGTTAGACCAACATGAATGCAATTTCACAAGTGAATACATTCCAGTTGGGGAAAATTTGTTCTCAAACCTTTGTATCCAAACCAGAAGATGGGACTGAGATTGCACACGGAATGCATGCCATAGAAAAACATAAGATCAGACGAGAATACCACCAGTTAACATTAAAAAATGTAGCTAAAATAACCGACCTCTTAAAATAACGCTTGCACTGACATGGTATGAGAAACTCTGTGGCTAAGTATGTACTAGTCTGTATGCAGTATCAGGTGATGATAATGGAAACATGCATACAGTCGGTCGCTTTTACACCAGTAGATGATTTATGTTTTATCGACGCAGTGAAACCTTTTAAAACTCTATCCCATGTGGAAACTTAATACAATAGGTGAGAGTAATGATAACAATAATAATGGTTAATTCACTTTTAGATCTTCCCGTCGATCGATTGGACTAAAGTGATCGGTCTCAGGTTGACATGTCGGCTTCTTGTGCAGATGCTTCGATGATGTCTGGGCCTGTAAATACAAGTTAATTGGTGGATGGTGACTAACAGTGGAATCCATGATGCACATTTCGTCCTATTTTGGACTCGTCAGCCACTGGATGTACCGCATTCCGCAGTGAGTGATTATGTTCCCACCGAGGCTCGAACCAAGTTCCCATAGTTTCAAACGCCAAAGCGTTACCAACTAGACCACTTTGGTCACGAGAGCCATCTCTTGTGCAACGCCTCACATTAATTATTTGATTCAAGTTTAGATCAATCGACAGGAAAATCTAAAATTGAATCAAATAATTAATATGACCCGTTGCACAAGAGGTGGCTCTCGTGGTCCAAGTGGTCTAGTGTATAATGCTTTACCGTTTGAAACTACGGGAACTGGGTTCGAGCCTCAGTGAGAACATAATCACTTACTGCGGAATGCAGGTACATCCACTTGACAAGTATCTAATGGGGTGAAGTTCGCGTTGTTCTGGATTCCAC